CAATGTAAACAAAAACGGTGTTCCCCTTTAAGGATTTGGAAGAGGTACTGGCCGGGTTTCACATTATTAGATAAATTGGAAACATCTAGTAGTTGTTGGCCATTTTTGCTGGTCCCACGGCGATGGCCAAGAATGCAGGTCTAAGAAGGAAGTTAGAGACTGCCTCTGAAATGTATGCTTACATCAATGATTTTGTTTAACAGCACTGGAATACATTCTGTTAATGCTTAAAGATGTTTCCTTATTTTTGTACACTGTCTGAGAAATTTCCTACTCGGATCTGAACTGGGTAACCAAAATGATGAGTATAAATTGTCTGCCAGGGGAGACAGGAGAAGAAGAACAGAAATGCATCCGCAGGTGTTGTTGAAGATGAAGAGGCGGGGAAAGAAAATATGGAGAAAGATAATGTGCTAAAATGGAAAGAATGACAATAATAAAGGAGGCCACATTAACATTAATGGAATTAAACATTGCCTTACCCGGCAAGACATTCTAACTCTTGATGTCAGTATTTTTTGGGCCCTGCGTATGGCCCTGACTACAGTACAAAGGAAAATCAAACACACTTGAGTGAAAAACTTGTGAAAATCAGACACACTTGAGTGTTTGTAGTTTCTGATGCACTTCTGATCAAAATGTTTTTGTGATTAATTTTCAAAAAATTGTTCGATGTTAGGATGTGTTGATTAAGCCAGATAATGTCTATTTTTTTCTGTAAAAAAACAAAGTTTTACAATATTGTGTAACCAACATATGAACTTAAATGGGTTTACCGTGCTAAGTAATTTATTTATTTTTTTTACCTTATATGCATACACATTAAAATTGCATATTTAAACTGAAAACATTCTCTGCAGTCTATGAAATGGCACAGTGTTAGAGATAATTATGATGAGTCAGAGTTCCTTTGAAAGATGTGTCACACTGCCTCATCTCATAGGCTGTGTAACTCATCGCTTGGAGTAAAAAAAAATTAACGAAAGTAAAAATATTTAGTTAATGAAAAGCAGTAAGTCACACAGCAAATAAGAATTTCTCCTTGCATGAGTTGAAATTAACAATTGGTTTTAGTTGTATTATCAATATTGCAATCAAATGAAAGTAAAAGATTTTCGTGCAAACTGAGAGAATAGAGAAAATGAAAACATAAACTGTAATAAAAATGTTGCCGAGTAAAATATTTTGTTTTCAAAATGTAGGCGATGACTTCGTTTCAGGAAAATTCTCAAGAAAGGAGCCTATTAGAACTTTTTGGGCGCCTCCATAGAAATGCAATCCTCTAAAAAAAACAGGTATCATTCCATGACCTACATTTTACCACACAAGGGAGATACCACTGAAGCTGACAGCTGCTGGTAAACTTTGATTTATAGCGTAGTGTGGACTGCTCTCACACAACCAATCACCACAGCAGATGACAGAAGAAGCTGGTCTTTCTTCTTTTGAGTTTTGCAGGAAGTACTGAAAACAGAGCGTTTTTTCCCCTCAACACTCACAGAGTTGAGGACCTAGAAGCAGCTACTGAAGGTGGATTTTGGGGTTTGCGTTTGAAAGTGGATTTGCAACAAGAGAACATAGGGAGCCCTTATCAGCAGCACTACACCTGGAAATGGGCCATCTTCATCATAACTTGCAAAACTACACAGCACCAACTCTCACAGAAATAAGCAATGTAGTGTAATTATATGTAATTATCTGGGCATTGTTCTTTTAATTATATCTGAAACAGTGTGACTGCGTTTTTAAAGCCTACTGATTGAAAGGTCTGGTATAGTTATCTGCTAAAGCAGGCCTGGAGATGAAAATTAGAGAAACAATTCCTTCTTTTTTCACATCAGTAGTGTAGACTGATGATCAGCTTAAAGGGAATGGAGAAAGATAAAAAAAAAAACTTTATTTTCTTAAATAAATATTAAATATTACAATTTGGGAAACATCTTCTCCCCTCTCATGTCACCTGTCCTCATTTTTATTGCCATGCCTGCAATCCAGGAAAGGAGAACATGTTCATCACAAATATTTAAAGGTGTGGTGTCTCTTTGACAAAAGCAATAGGAATTTCTAAAGAACCTTTCCAGATGCATAAAAGCTGTTCACGTCTGTTATCATTTACATATATGCAAAAATTATGCCTGAGGACTGTGACCAATCACGGATATACGTACACACTGGAAGTGACAATTATTTGTGCCTGATCGTGTCCTTCTTATAAAAGAAGAGTTGCGGATATACCAAATACATTTCTTAACAAAAAAAGGGTAAAAAAGAGACATGGATATTGATGTGCCCATACAAATAAACACACAATTTATCATGCGAAATATTTTCATTGCACCACGGCGGGGCCACGATCCAGCAATAAAATGGTGGCATCGGCAAGTACTGACAAATAGGGCTCCAATACCAGTTTGAGAGCCAAAGGTTTATGCAACTATTGTCACACATTCCGGGTAGGCAATAAAAAGTTCTACTGCATTCACTTTGTATTAGTCTTTCTTTTTCCTGCTTCACAAAGGTAGGCAGCAGCTTGACAAAGCCATGATGGAAACTATTTTACATCCAAATAATATGCAGTTCATCACACATTAACACAGATCAATTTTAAACATATGGTATGGGTATTTGCCAATACCGCACAGACAGGTATCTGGTATCGGGGCCAAAAAATGGCATGATTATTACAACACAACACTATATATATATATATATATATATATATATATATATATATATAAAGAGAGAGAGACAGGGAAAATTTGAATGACTTGTGGAAGGAGAATTCACTCTCCAAACCTTTCTTAGGTTCTGCGTGGAAACCAGCTGGTTGGTAGAAAAGGCTGTTAAATTAAAACACTTTTATAACCTTTTATGACTGCACTTTCATTGAAATGACTACTATTTTTCACTACTTTTCATAGTTATAGACAATTCAGAGAACTACTATATTTCTTGGCATGTAACAGACAAACATCTTTGAACCTCCTTGCAAGTTGCTCCACTCCAGTATTAGTGAAGTACCCCCACCTATACCATTCTTTCTAAATCTTTAAAGTTAATCAATCTGCTATACGTATAGCCTTTCTGTCTGTCAGTTTCTGTGAAGGATTTGTTGTCTATCTTTGCTAGATTAATTTATAATTAAAACCAACATGTGTTGTTAGGAGATTGGGATGCTTTAAATATGACTGATGTGACTGCCAATTGCATCCACAGATGCATCAGACAGGTGCTGTTGCGGAGGCAAATAAATAGACAATCTTGCTGTGCAACCATAACTGCTTGACAAAGATTTTTAACATAAGTTTTTTGTGCTTAAATCTAAAGAATGTCATAGAAGCAGAAATCTATAAGTGGTATTAATTCTGACTAAAGCAGGTATGGAAAGCCAAAACCATCACTATTGGCAGCTAAATGTAAAAATTCCAGTGATTCTATTTTTTGTATTAAAACCATATTTTTTATCCTAACCAAATAAATCTTATTCATGTAATTAACTTTTAATTGAATGTTTCTTGCTTCCAGAAAACAGGTTACTTAAATGTCTACATTACTGATATGACATAATTCAAAGTTACTCAATAGATTTATGATGCCATAATGGTTCCTTCATTATCATTTTACATTTCCTGAGATATTCACTAAGAGCTTCATTCCTTGGGGCCATCTTCCTGATGAAGGAATTTGACCTGCAACCAGAGGGTTGTCAGTTTAAGCCCAGGCTCCGGCTCTCAGTGTTGTTGTGTCATTGGGCAAGGTACTTCACCTGCATTCCCTACTGATGTTGGTCGGAGGGCTGGTGGCGCCAGTGTAGGGCAGCCTTGCTTCTGTCAGTGAGCCCCAGGGCAGCTGTGGCTGCAATGTAGTTTGTCATCATCAGTTAATGATTGAATTGCGTGAATGATTTAATGACTGAATGTTGTGTAAAGTTCTTTGGGTGAGTCCTCTGACTTGAAAAAGTGTTATATAAGTACAGGCCATTTACCATTTGCCTCCTTCCATGCAATTGAAGGGGAACGCCTTTTTTTTTACGTCATCCGCGCGCTGTACTGGAGTTTTGATAGGCAGCCCGGGCCATAGGCGGCTACGCTCTACCCCTTATATTAATTCGGCTAGCTAATCTGAATCATTTATTTCCATTTTGAGAGCGAGATCATCTGTGGCAGTAGCACTAGGCATCTTTCAGGCATGTATGTAAAACTAGCAGCAGTTCAGCGGAGAGGATGAATGAATGGAAGCCGGCGCCCAAGGGTGACGTCAAACGCACTGCGCTTTGTTTTAAAAAAATATAAATATAAAAAAATATAACCGTGGATGTCTGGCGGACAGTGATTCGCTACATGTTATGAATGCTGGCGTACCATAAAGAATAAATTATGAACAGTTTAGTTTGGACCTTCAAGTCGTTGCCCATAGGTTAGACGTTACTTGGATATAACCTAACAGAATATCTTCAGAACAGCTTCAAATGACACACAACTCATATGGTTGAGTAGAACATGATGTACTAACATAAACTCAAGGGCCCAATGTAAAAAAGCGTTCCCCTTTAATGTGGATATTGAATTTGTATTGGAATCCACCTTGCACAGTGAGTAACTTTGGTGTTCTAAACCTCTTTCATGTGTTGATCCATTTGCCCACTTATCATTGGTGCTATGATGCCTGACAGGAGCTTCCATGTTGTGAAGAGACAGGAGATTGGCTTATAGTTGGTTTGGACTGCCCCTATCTGGGCATCTTTTATTATCATGAATGTTGGGCCCTTGCGACTATCACATAAACCAATGTACATAGCTTTCAAGTACTCAAATGCATGCAGAAACCCTGATAAAAGCATCAGTGGTGATATTTTGTTCACAGTTGTTCAAACTGAACTTGCTAAACCTGAAATACATTTTGCTCAGTTTTTTTTTTTCTGTGGGTGGAGCCTAAAAAGCTAATGACTCATACAGGTGCGCTTAAAAGGTTGACAAAAGAAGGAGAAAAAAACCAGAACAAATTGAGTCCATCCATAAGTGACATGTACGATGGAGAACCTGGAAAGAGATGATTCACTCAAGTAAGTGATTTGCAAAAGCTGTCTTCTTAGATCTATTTGTGTAGTAGCAGATGTAGTTATCTATTTTTTCCTAATAAATGAACTTACGTCTTGACAAACATATTTTTTAAGAAGTTTCAGAAGAAAGGTTTTCAGATTTCTTATCTTTCTTTCACATTTTTAGTCAAATTATAGAGGATATTCCATTTAAAAAATAATACATAAGTGAAATATCCAACAGTTCCTTTCATTGATGATTGAATTTATTTAGGAATCAATATTCCTCAATCAAACCCGGCCCAATGTATGAGTTATTGTCCTCTATGTCGATGCTTTAGCTTTGCCACTCTTTGCTACACCAGCTTGCTTCAAGTATTTCTGATAAACACTTGTAAGTTTTTAATGTTGGCGCGGCCCAATCTTTGCAGGTTTTTTTTATTCAGTGGATTTTTGTGTTCAGTTCTAAAAAAGCATGCTGTTACACTATCAATAAGACTACCAAGAAAATTTTCATTAGGGAAATTTATGCTTTAGATAAAGGAAACTTTTTTTAGCCAATATGCTTTATTACAATTTAACATCTAGCATCTATTCCAGGAGGCCATGGGACACCTTTCGAGAGGTTCCTATAATTGAAGATGAGCACACACCTTGGAGATTCCTAAAGCTTTTAAAGATCATCACTTTGTGCGCAGTAGCTATCGCTGTCTTTGGACTGGCAGTATGTAGCAAGGTTAGCTCCTTTTTATGACTTTAATACATTTTCAATATTTTTTTCTGGATATAATCATATGCTATTTGATATCACAGTGAATACAGAAGATGTATATAATTCATTATCCTTGAAAGTGCAAATAACTAAAACATTAGTGTCCCTGTTTTGTTTACCAGGTTTCTTTCCTTCTCCTCATCACTTTATCCCATGAAGATACAAAGACTATCCCAGCAGGACAGAAACCTGTCACATTGTTGTGTATTGGTTGCTCTGTTATTGCACCTAGTGTTCTTCTGCTCCTCAAAAGCGTCTGGAAAGCATGTTATAAATCATCAAAGGTGCCGAGGAAAGCATCTGTAGCCCTGGTAAGACTAAATCGAATGTTTCTTTACAGTATTTTATCTCTTACAAATCTTTTAAACACATAATGATGTGGTTTATATCTTTGTTTCTGTGACATTTTTATAACCTGTCCTTTTTCTTTATTCCTCAGGTTTTGTTCTTCGAGCTTCTAGTTTCTGTGGGGTTGGCCATTCTTACCATTGTTGCAATGCCACACTTGGACATTGTGACCAATGTGACGATTCTTAATGGTGTGGCTGTCCTCCCTGCATTCCTGCAAGCGGTCGCTCAGTGTACTGCAAAAAAGATAAATGTCTCCCTGCTTCCCTCAATTCTCGGCGTCTTGGCTATACTCACTGCTTTCTGTATTTTCCTTGTCCTGTACATTCTGAAAGACCTTACAGATGTGCAGACAGCAACTTGGGTGGGCCTTGCTGTTGGTGGCTGCTTCTTTGTGTCTTTTAACTGGTGGGAGAACTACTTTATGCTCATCTGTGTGAACAGCAAATCAAAGTTCCTTAAAAGTCTTTTTGAGGACTTGACCAGGAGTCAGAACATGCTGCACATCCTCTCCAGCTTACTCAGAATTGTGGTGACTGCCTGTGTGCTTGGTGCTTATGTCCCTCTGGCCAACATGGACTGGGACATTGTGACCTCCATTCCAGGCCGGGAAACAAGAATTGTAGTCATCACCATTGGAGTCCAGCTAATCTCCTCAGCACTCTGCCACTGGTTTGCTTTGGCAGCCTTCAAGATGCACGCTATACGGAGATGCTTCATCATACCTTTGTACCTGGCTTCACTGGCTGTGATGGTGTTCTACATCGTCCCTGTGATTGTTTACTTTGAGGGCTATAAAGTAAGCCTGAACACAACTGAAAACATCAACTTCACAAGTTACTGTGACGTAGCTGTGAATGGAAGAAATCTAAGTCTGATTGGTAACCTGTACCCAGAGCTGGTTTTGGACGTTACGCAAACTCTGTGCTTCCTGAACATGTCAGAGATGGTTGACATCGGCTTACTGACGGGTAAGAAAAAAATGACACATTTATTTGGTATAAAAGCAAAATCTTCAACAGGTTTCAAAGCAAATATACCTCCCTAAGAACCTACATACTTACAAGCCACATTGATATCTCTACTAATTTGATATTGCTATTTATGCGTTCAAGCAGTAACTTGTGTTTTGTTTCCTTTTTCCACATTAGGTGCAGCATTTGGATGGTGGATTGGCCTTGTGATGGCCACTATCCATATATGGTTCTTTAACGTCAAACGTATCCAGAAGACACAAGACTTGTTTGTTCGGCGGCTTTATGAGGGAGCCTTTATTGAACAATCTTTACTCCTCAACACCAGATTCCACATCCAGACAAAACAAGGAAGGAAGAAACAGTAAGTGGTTTGGTGCATGTGTTGTACATCCTTTTATCGCCTTTCTTCTGCTTAGTATTTAAAATTTCAGCATGTAGTGTGTTGTTGTATTGATTTTTTATTACAATAACCAATTGCACAACAGTAGAATATTTCTAACATTTGTAATTATTGTGAAGTTATAGGGAAGACGCCTCCCCAGCTATGTTGTATCTTTGCGCAACAATGTGGCATGAGACCTATGAGGAAATACTGAATATCATGATCTCAGTTTTCAGGTGAGATTAAACAATTGCTGTTATACTTATCTTAGATGGTTTTTTTTTATTTCTAATAATCAAATAGTTTATAAACTGTATAACTTCCATTTAGTGGAAAATGTATTCAAGTAAACCTTGTAGAGAGATTTACTTCCAAGTCCACTTAATTGCAAATAAAGTTTTTTTTAGTAATGTAATATTGGCTTTTTTATATATATATAATTGTGATTTTTTTTCACGGTTCATGTTTGTTTTATCAATGAAGATTGGACAAGTACAGACCAAAGATAGATCCAACGATGGATGATTTCACCTTTGAAGCCCATATCTACTTTGATGATGCTTTTGAAAATGTCAAAGGAAGTCAGATTCGTCATCTAAACTCATATGCAAAGGACCTTGTGCAAATCATCACTGAGGTTTATGGGTAAGAACCATGTTACAAATGACAAAATGTGCATTTTTCTAAAGTTGTAGGAATAACACTAAAGATTTTGGTCTCCATCTCTGGTATGAAACGCCTTGTGTATTCTTGACCCATTTAAAATGTACAAGACTTTATTTCAACAGGCTTATTAAAACTAGTAATCTATGAGTACTTTGTTTTTATTGTAGTTAATGTATTTTATTTGTCCCATTATGCAGCACTTTGTGATCCCCTTTATAAGTAAAATTTATATATATATATATATATATATATATATATATATATATATATATATTTAGCTTTCTTACTTTTTCCAATAGTTCTTTGCATACAGTTCTTCAAAGAATATGTTTTCATTTTAATAAGTTACATTTGTTCTATGTAATATGTGTTAATATGGAAATGTCTAGCATGTGTGTGCTTGGAAAGATATATATATATAAACAATGTATACAGTATATATATACTACTATGACAGTCACACGTACTATGATTTTTTACTTTTTGTCTTTTTCAGCATTTTCAAGAACCTTGATAAAACATTCTTTGAGGTGGAGCAGGAAATTCCTCACCAGTCAATCATAGCGACACCATATGGAGCCCGTTTGGTTTTTGAAATGCCTCATGGGAATAACATAGTAGTTCACTTCAAAGACAAAGAGAAAATTCGGAACAAGAAAAGATGGTCTATGGTAGGCAAAATCATATGGATTATCTTTCACCATTCACCTTTGCTTTTTTTAACTTTCATTTATTGTCTACAGATTATGTATCTTTACTATCTCTTGGGTTGGAAGCTTATGAGCAAACATCACAGCCAATGGAAGTTAGGATGCAGTGATGATGAAATAAAGACAAACATTAAGGTAAATAAAAACATTTCTGGGTACGTATTTCTGAAGCAATTAAACAAGGGTGCCTGTTTGATTTGTGGTGAACTTTTAAAGGCAACAGAATTTAAATTACAGAAGTTAAACAAGGTGTTTTTGTTCTAGAGGGAGAAGGACAACACCTACCTCATGGCTTTAGATGGGGACACAGATTTCCAACCACCCTCAGTGATGCTGCTTATTGATCGTCTGAAAATGTATCCTCGTGTCGGAGCAGCATGTGGCAGAATTCACCCTACCGGATCAGGTCGGGACCAATGAGATCACTGCACGGTAAAAAAACAGTCATGACAATGTTCTAAAAACATCTCTGTCTTTAATCTGCAGGTCCTGCTGTTTGGTTCCAGAAGTTTGAATATGCTGTCAGTCACTGGCTGCAGAAGACAGCAGAACATGTGTTTGGCTGTGTACTGTGTAGCCCTGGATGCTTCAGTCTATATAGGGCAGCGGCTTTGTTGGATGATAATGTGATGAAAAGATATTCAACCCTATCCACTGAGCCCAGTCACTACATCCAATATGACCAAGGTACAATATTAAACTTTTCCAACATTTTCTGAAAGATTTCATGGGTTTTCATCCTTGCTAAGGCTGTTCTGCACAAAGTTTGTGTTCTCTACTTGTGTGCGTGTGTTACACCAATTAACAACTACAACGTGGTTACCAGTGTTGCTATGTGACAGACTGTTAACCTGTCCATTGAGTTGCTCAAATACCACTGTTTGTTGCAACTTTCCACCGATACAACTGCATGAATTAAACAGATATAGAGAATAGATGGATTATTGCATTTTTTTTAATCTAATACAGATTGTCATCATAGCTCATCAAAGCATTTTACTGTATATATATAAATATATCTACTTTGTTGTTGCAGGTGAAGACCGTTGGCTGTGCACTCTGCTACTGAAACAAGGGTGGAGAGTGGAATACAATGCAGCATCTGATGCCTACACTAATGCACCGACGGACTTTAAAGAACTGTTCAACCAAGTGAGTGAGATAGCATTAGAAGACCTATTGAATTGAAATGTAATAGCATATTTTATTTGGTAAACATCGGTGAACATTTATTCATAGTTTACCCACAGATTTAGTTCCTTTATAATACCAAAAGAGCTGTAATCATAGTTATAAGCTATAACAGGCCATTCTGAGTGTTTGCTACCAGAAAGTAAGAATCAACTCCCTGTATTGAGGTATAGATACCATAATGTACTTTAATATGGAAGATCCCAAGTTATTTTGGAAGAGGACTAAGAAAAATCTTTTTTTATTTTTCAAAATAAATCTCTTTCTGTGCTCGAGTTGGGATTGAGTGTTTCTCATTTTAATCATTTTTAATGTCATCACTGCTTCTCCTGATTGGTTTAAAACCAGTAAACAAAATATTTAATTTCATACGTGATTTAATATCTGAAAACTGACTGTTTTGACCTCAGCGAAGACGATGGGGGCCTTCCACGTTGGCGAACATTGTGGATCTGCTCAGTTCCACCAATCTTGTTTCAAAGAGGAACCCATCCATGTCCAAACCGTTCATGTTCTACCAGCTGTTTGCCTTGATTTCGGCCATCCTTGCTCCAGCCACCATTGTTCTCATGGTTGCAGGTAACTGTCATTAACATGTGTTGTGAGCTTCTACATGTAAAACACTGAACTATATATCAGCATTGTACTTCATCTGCCTTTAAACATAAATTCTCTACTGTTTCCAGGAAGCTTGTCCTTCGTCTTTGGTATACCTTCTGGCGCTGCTCTGGTCATAGCTGTGATACCCCCAGCCATCTACTTGGGTCTTTGCTTTAAACTCAAGACAGACACTCAGATCACTATTGCAGCAGTGATGAGCATCATATATGCATTCCTTATGTTGTTGGTGACCATGTCCATTATTGGTAAATAAAAAAAGTTACACAGATAATGATTTATCCTGTGTTTCTTTTCTAACTCTAACGTTGTTATTGTTTTTTTCTTTTTTTTACTAGCTGCAATGGTGAAGGAACAAACCATTCTGACACCCAGTGCCATATTTATTGTGGCCATGTCCATCATTTACATTGTCACTGCATTGATGCATCCTCAAGAATTCCTTTTAGTGTTCTATGGCCTTCTCTACATCATCTGCATCCCCAGTGCCTACCTCCTGCTCACCATCTACTCTATGGTGAATATGAACTGTGTCTCTTGGGGCACTAGAGAAGCAAAACCTGCTGCAGGGGCAGGAACACCTGGAACCAATGTCCAACAAACACAAGCAGAAAAAGGTAGATATATAGCTCAGAGTTCACCGTATGACTGGAGTTGCTCTTTATGTCAGATAAACTGATTATTTTTTTTTTTGCACCTGTACAGCCAAAAAAAACATGAAGAAGTGCTGCTCATGGATGAAATGCTGTAAAAAACCAAACGAGGGACCAGAGGTTGAACAGATCAGCATAAGACAGGAGAATTTGGTCCCAGAGCCGACACCACCACAACCTCAACCCCAGAACACTATTATAGATGATGCCTTGGACAATAGGTTTTTACTTACTTGATAAGCAGTTTAAAATGTAGTCTTGAAATGCAAGGATGGTGCTAATGTTTTAAATTCTCTTCCAGGCAAGAGGTGACAGCTTTTGAAACTCCAGTTCAATGTAAGGACAAAAAACATCCAGGCTTCTATTGTTTTTATATAATATTATATATATAGATATTTTAGAACTAATATTAATCTTGAATTATGACTATTTCCATGTTGTGTTGTATAGGTTGGATAACCCAGCTAGAGAACTTGTCTGATGACATTCAGCTGCATGAGGACATTCTTAAAGAGGTGATTATTCTTTTGTTAGCAAAACTCAGCCTTTATTCTTAAAGTGCTGATAAACGGTTATAAATTATTTCACTTGCTAATTGAATTCTGTGCTTTACTTAATCTGAGCCAAGTTCTAAAACTTTTATTCTCCTCTTAACCATATAATTAAACAATTAACATATTGTCTTCAGTATCAAAAAGTTCTATCCCCCCATGTGATTCTATCATCATTTGTTTTTTTTTTTAGCTTATTTAATTATTAACCTGAATGCATCATAACAGTGTATTTACTTACCGGTAATCACGCTCAGATCGCACAGCTATATTGTTCAGACATGGTGAAAGCCCTTTATCAGCATGCCCATAATTTCACGATGCCAAATCATTTCTGCATGTCGAAATTTTACCTGTGATGTCCTTAACATATATTTAACATGTGACCTGTAGCTAAATTTAACAGAGAAATATGTTATTTTTGCAGGATGAGGTGCAGTTTTGGGAAGAACTTATTGAAAAGTACTTGAAACCTTTGAAAGTTGACAAAGAAAAACAGGAAAAGACTAAAAAGGACCTAGCGGGCCTAAGAAACAAGGTAAATATGAAGTGCTTTAATGTAATACATTTGAGAGGAGAAAAATAATAAATTTTTAGGCTAAACTTTGAACTTTATCTCCCAACACAGATCAGCTTTTCGTTCTTCTTCTTAAATGCCCTGTGGTTGGTGGCAGCCTTCATCTTTCAGGTCTTTGAGGTCTTTGTCATACAGATAGATATTGTTGACCTAAACCTCGTTGAAACTGGAGGGAAAATGCAAATTGAACCACTGAGTCTCATGTTCATCCTGGGCTTTGCTGTATCAGTTTTGATCCAGTTTATTGGGATGTTTTGCCACCGGTGAATAATCATTATATACACTTTTTTTTTTTTTTTTTTCCCCAAAAAAATATTACAATGCTAACATTTTTCCAAAAAAGATTAATCAAATGTGTTTCTTTTAACTTGCAGAGTTGCCACTCTCATTCATTATGTGGCATTTTTGGAAACTGAGCCAAAACAACAGAGATCTGCACAAAAACAGGTTATTTATTTTTGATGTTAATACTTAACTAGACTAAACTTTTGCTCAGACTTTTTGCTCTGTAGCTGATAACTATGTTTGTGTGGATTAAAATAAAGAGAAAACTGATGGGAACCACATTATTATATAGGCTATGAAGCTGTGGTCTGCATTTAACATGGTTTGAACAAAGAAGAAATCATTAGTAGTCTAACATTGTAAATACACAGAGATCTTTAACTGTAGTGAGCTTCTACAGGTTAACATTATTGATTAAGATGAACATTTTTATCTGAGCTCTTCATTGAGAGATTTGCTATGTGAAACTTTACTTTTTTGGGGATAACAAATGTTTTTCAAAGCGGTGGAACATCTTTATTCACATATTTTTCCCTGATCTCCCTCCAGAAAAAATTGATATCAGGTGCAAATTCAAGCTCAAGTTTAGCCTCCGACGATGACCAGAGCTCCATCAAAGAAGAATCAGAGGATGAAATGATCGACGATGAAACTTTTTTTTCAGAGCTGGACTTTGAAGAAGACTTTCAGGAGCCTCAGGATGCTTAAAAGAAGACTATTGTACTTCTGTGTGACTTTTAATGTAGCACTTTGATATATTTCTTGTTATATATATTATTTTAAATGGTACTCAAAAGTAGGCAAAACACCACCTATATGACCTCCATATGAAGTATTTTATTTAATCATAACTAGCCATTAATTATAATTAACAATTATTTCATGCAACGTTGTTTCATTTCTGATGTTGTTGGTTTTTTTTATATGACATGTTTCTGTATCACGTAATCTACAAACATAAAATCAGTGCTTATTATATGCAATTGGAATTAGGAATATTTATAATCTAAGTTTGAGTTAATCCATTTATGAAAACATGAATAATTTTATGAATAAAGTTTAATTTATTCTATTTTTCTAAAATGTTTACTAAATCTATAGTTTCATTGTGTGCCAGTTTATTCTTCCTGTAATGCACTGTTTTTTTTTATATAATAACATACACACTGAGAGTTAATTTAATATTAAATAGAACATCATTACTGCTGTTAACTAGTTAAGGAGGAAAACCTGTAAAATCTTGTTTTGGTTCACTAATTAGATACATATTATTCAGGTTTTGAATGGAAAATGACCTGTACTCATCATGAGAACCCCTAAATGCTTTACACAACATTCAACCATTCACCCATTGATGGTGGAAACCTGCACTGAAGCCACTGCTGTCCTGGGGCAGACTGACAGTAGCAAGGTTGCCAAACAATCTGACCACCATCTGCAGACATAATGGGTGACTGGGCTTATAGACCCTGAGCCAGTATCTCATTGGGAAAACAATTAAATTTCCATGAATTAAAAACAAACAACCTGTCTTGGAATTTAATTCCCAGGAATGTTTTGAGAAAAGTTCAGCATAAAATATGTAGATCAGATCTCTTTTTGAAGCATTCAGGCAGATAGACACTAGATCTTATGTTAGCAGGTCTGAACTTTTTCCTTTCATTACTGTAAGACTGCTTGTAATTTGAAACAAAACTGGAAAATAATGAAGAGAGAATAAGAAATTGTATATCATATCACAGAGGTTATATTTGCACTATAAAAAAACACAAAACTAAAGAATAGAGTCAATAATTTAAACTTGAAGCACAGATTCAACCTGAACCTATGGTCTTGGGTATGCTTCATGTGTGAGGTCAGTATATTTAGCTGATGAAGTTAAAATAAAAGTGATTATCCACTAATGTGTCACTCTGATGACACATAACTACGTTCCCAGGTTCACCACCAATCACATCATGAAGTTTGCAGATATCACCGCAGTGGTGGGCCTCATCAGAGATGACAACAACCAGGACTACAGAGAGGACAATGTGGAGAAAACGAAGGAGATGTGCACATCAAAAGCTCAGCTGTAGAGGTGGTCAGCAGCACCAAATACCTGGGGGTGCACATTACAGACAACCTCACCTGTACCGTAAACACCACCTCACTGGTCAAAAGGGCATAAAAGTGCCTGTACTTCCTGTGGAGGATGAGGAGAGCCAACCTGCCTCCACCCATCCTCACCCCCTTCTACAGAAGCACCATTGAGAGCGTTCTGACCAGCTGTCTCACTTTGTGGTGGAGGCTGAAGCGCCTCAGACTGGAAGAAGGTGAGGAAAGTAGTGAGAACGGTGGAGAAGATCATCAGGGCTCCTCTTCCCTCCATAAAATACATTTCATCCCAGCGCTGCGTGTCCTGAGCCTGTAACATCATAAATGACCCCTCACACCCCCACCATGGACTGTTCTCCCTGCTGCCCCCTGGTAAGAGGCTTCGAAGCATCCGATGCAGGTTCAACAGATTCCAAAACAGCTTATTCCCCCCTGCAATTAGACTGCTGAATGTTGTATAAAATAGGGTTAAAGAAAAAACAAACCAAAAAAAGTGCTGAATGTTGAAAAACTGTAAATCATAGGATAATTCAGGTTAGTTCATCAGATTGTTTTTATATGAAGAGTTGCAGATTTCTAAATTTGGAATACACACTGAATTCAATTTAGTTTATTTATTTCAAAGCGTCAATTCACAATGCATGTAATCTCAAGGCCTTTACAGAGACAATATAGTCAAGAAATACCAGTTGATTAAGTCCAGTCATTGACGTACAAGACATGCTCCTCCTGACTTTTCGGATATCCCTGACACTAAGCATGTTTGTAGCAACAGGGGAGAGGAGATATTCCCTTTTTTACAGGAAGAAACCTCTAGCAGATCCAGGCTCGGTGTGAGCGGCCATCTGCCATCTCTGAGCTACAAGGAGCCAGTGGAAGGACTTCAGAACCGGGCTGATGTGCTCTACTTTCTTAGCTCTAGTGAGAACACAGGCAGCAGCATTTTGGATTAGCTGCAGCTGTCTGATGGACTTTTTAGTAAACCTATGAAAACACTGTTGCAATCATACCCACACTTTTCATCTTCTGCTTACCCTGGACCAGTTTGTGGGGGCATCAATCTCGGCAGAGACAACCAAACCTCCCTCTCCTCTGTATGGGGTGCAGTTATGAATTTTACTAAAGATAAATGCATGAACTAGTTTTTTATTTAGTTATTTTTTTAGATCCTGCTTGGATATTAGCCCTTTAACATTGAGATGTTCTTCAGGTAATAAAAAGCTGACCTAGTTTTATGTCCATCGTAAAACCAAGATTTTGGCAACAATTTTTGGTTTCGAGCTGCAGCAGCTGAAGCTGTGAGCTAACTCTAAATCTCTCTTTGGTCCGAAGATTATAACCTCAGTTTTGTTTTTATTCAGTTGGAGAAAATTATGGCACATCTACATTTTAATTTGTTCTAAACTATCAAACCAACGATCTGATGTGTCATCGTTACCTGGTGCTCAACCTGTTCTTCTCTAATATGGGTTTAATTATTTGTTCTTTGATTTTGCTCCAAGAGTTTCTGAGCAGCGTTGTGGTTATTGTCATTAAAATTAGCACTTTGTTTCTAGGATGACCTGAATAACTCTATGATACATCAGCCAGCAGGTATTTCTCTTTCTCTCATCTTTTTTCTTTTTGTTACATGCCCAGCAGCTATCTGACTGTGGAACATCGAGCTCATCTCTCTGTCTTCGTCATCACAAAGGACGCCCTGTGCTGCTGAGGCTTCACAGTTGGAATGATGGATTCAATCAACTGTAGATTTACTACTTTTGATTCGATGCTTTTCGCAGAGTAGCATTACAGTTAGTTTGAAAGTTGAAGATAGCTTTATGTATATACATACATACATACATGTAGGTGGTTTTGCACTATTCAAATCTACCATATGAGTACATCCGACTATCTTGACACGTGGATTTTTCTTTTCTGCTTTTCCAGTTTAGCAGCGTTGCTTTTTTAGTCAGAACCAAGAACTGAAGTCGAGGTGTTGTTTATGGGTTTACTTTACCTCTTCGACAGAAAACAAATGGAATTGGGTAGTGGGATATTAAGGCTCAGGAATCGGGATAATTTAGTGGATATTTCCTTCCAGACGTTTTGTATTGGTTGAAAAGCCAG